TGTTTCTGGGTTTTTGTTTAGCTTCTATATTTGTAACAATGTTTCTTACTGCAGCTCAGAGCCCAGCAGCGGCAGGTGGGGAATGTTGGAGTCCTCCGTCACTGTAGCAAGCAAGCCTCATGTTAGCTTCCAGCTGCCTGGCTGCCGGCCACCATCTTGGCTGGCAGTTATTTTGCATATCACCCTGATTAGCCAATGGGAAGGGTAGTGGAGGTACAGCTAATTACCATGTTTCTCTTTTATTAGATAGGATCTTATTTTTGATCTCTTCCCCCTCTCACCCCCAGAAATCATTTGCAGTTTAACTTTCTTGGCAACTGACTAAAATTTCATTTTTTTCCTAGAAAAACTAATTCTTCCAAAAAGTTCTTCTCAGCTATTTTTGAATGTTAAAATATTTGTGTAAGTTTCATGTTCAATTTATTTGTATTCTGTTAATTCATGCTTAAATAACAGAAATTCTCTCCAGCTTGCCATTTAAAAAAAATGCAGATAGTGTCTCCCTGATGATTGAACATTGGACATTTCTCTTAAAAAAGTAACATCAAAGTTTCCACCTGTGGCTAAGTAGTATGAAGGAGGGAATTAGGACTAAAGGTAACAACTCCCTATCTCTGTGTAATTTCTCTCCAAGATTACTGAAACTCTTCCAGTGATAAGAACTAGCTAGCTCCACTTGGGCTATGGCTGTGTTATCAGGTGACTTCTAGTTTTGGCACATAATGCCTACTGTGGGGTGAGTTAGAATGAAACCCATAATTCATCTCATTTTTGCTTAGTGAGTCAGCACATACTTTTCTTCTGTTCCTACAAAGTTGGTAATACGTTTACCTCACAACTCTAATCTAAGCTTTACTCTTCCTTTTACGGAAAGAAAATAGGTCAGCCCAAAGAAAAATAGTATGACCACAAAGGCTCTCCTATTGTTCCACTACTAGCTGAAGCTAGGTTCTACTTATTTCTTTCAGACTGTCCATACACCTCAATCTCCTCTCTAAACTAGCAAAGGACAGAACACTTACTATACATTTCTTTATACACCTGATTCTAGGCTTACCTAGCACAATATCTCTTTGTTGTAACTTCTACTTAGATATATTTTTCAGTTGGTTCTTTTAAATCATTTTAGTAAACTCAAGGGAAACTGATTTAATATTTCCTCAAAATCAACCCACCCAATTTAATAATTTAAAATATGCATACATATTTTATCTCCTGGAAGACATATACTATGAGTTACTTTATTAAGAATAGTATATGGAAAAAACAGGTATACAGTATCAGTGAATTCTCCTCATGAGAGACATCTGAAATATACTCCACAAATAAACCAGATAACTAGAGGTATACCAATTCCACATTATAGCAGCATGTTTTAAAATACCCATACATGTTCTAAAATGTTCACCTTTTGACCTTAATTTTGTAGTTCTCCTACAATTTTTTAATGTAAAAGGTATTAGGAAAGAGAGTCTATATTGAACATAAAGACCACTAGTAGTCTGGCTGGTGTAACTCAGTGGTTGAGTGTCAACCTATGAACCAGGAGGTCATGGTTCGATTCCAGTCAGGGCATGCCAGGGTTGTGGGTTCGATCCCCACTGTGGGGTGTGCAGAGGCAGCCGATCATGATTCTCTCTCATCATTGATATTTCCATCTCTCTCCTTCTCCCTTCCTCTCTGAAATCAATAAAAATATATTTAAACAATAACAACAAAACCCCCACCAGTAAATAAATCAAACTAAAATGTATTCAAAGCTCTGATTAAGAAAGGAAATGTGCCATAACAGACATGTTACCATAGGCATTACAGATAAAAGGGCGGACATTCAAATCTTCTCTCTGCTACTTGCTAGCTAAATAACCTAAGCTAGAACCATTAGATTCCTTATTTGAAATTCCTCTACTTTAATGAAGTGTTACAAGGTCTAAATGAGGTAGTACAGTAAGTGGACATTCCATAAATGGTATAGAGTTATATATAGTTTATATAGTGTGTGTGTGTGTATGTACGTGTGTGTGTGTACGTGTGTGTGTGTGTGTGTGTGTGTGTGTGTGTGTGTGAGTGTGTACACACATGCGTGGACATATCTGCCTCACCACTTTGATCTCTGATCTGGATAGAAGAGTGACAGCACCATTCCAAGTGGAAATTCATGTTCCAAGCTCCATTAACAATTACAAAGTCAGCTCTAAACCATAAAATTTCTTACTCTTGCCAAGGAGAATACTGTTACAACATTCTGGTATGTTTCAATGATCATTTACTTAATGCCTTTGTCTTATTTACCAATAGTTTCTAAAATTAAGTTCACATAAACAGAAATAAATAAATAAATAAAATTTACCTGAGACAGTCCACAGTCTCTTGCTTAAGAAATGGCCTATACAATTATTCAACATGAAGTATGCTACCCCAACCAGAATAATTAGACAGTGACTAAGCCAGAAGTAATGAGGTAGAGGTAAAACCAACCATCAATGACTATGACGATATTAGGACCAACTATCAGATATGATATACTCTTCAGGAACAGTGAGGAAAGATGCATATGAAGTAGGCAGGTATCCATATAAAGCAAGCAGAGGTCCATAAAGAATACAGACTTATTCTTTTGAGCTATTATAGAACCACTATCAGAGATCCATAGAGTAACAGTGCAATTTACAATTCTTAGAAATACGGATGGACACTCACACACATACTGCTGTTAAGATGATTATTCCATGCTTCCCTGCTTCCCTATGTCAAATACAGCACTGCTTCTGAAAAATTTCAATCCAATACTTTAAATCATAAAGGAAAGTGGAGAGTGCAATGGGAAATCCTACTGAAATTACTTTAGAATTTCCCACCAGACCTCAAATTCAAATAATATGTTTATTCTATGCCACACTATAACAAGGGATACTTTACTATAAAATTGTTGTCAAAATCTTTAAGCAAAATTAATGTTTCAGAAAGAAATTACAGGTTCAGCCACATTTTCATGAATCTCCTAAAATACCAATATGGCCCTAGCCAGTTTGGCTCAGTGGATAGAGTGTCAGCCTGCAGACTGAAGGGTTCTGAGTTCAATTCCAATCAAGGGCACGTACCTCGGTTGCAGGCTCCCGACCATGGTCGGGGGCATGAGGGAGACATCCAACCAATGTGTCTCTCTCACATCAGTGTTTTTCTGTCTCTCCCCCTCCCTTCCACTCTCTCTAAAAATTAATGGAAAAAATATTCTCGGGTGAGGATTAAAAACAAATAAATAAAAAATAAAATACCAATGGGTTCCCCCAGAAAACGAGAATCTAAACCAAACAGCATAAACTTAAAAAAATCTAGAAATTCCTTAAAACATAAAATATTTCAAATATTACATAATCCAAGGGAGAGTAAAATATTTTTCTATATTCCAGAATATTTATCAGAATAAATCAACTCACGATCTAATATGTGGGAAATCCTCTTCAATTTTGCTGCCTGTGTTTTTGAAAATTTGGAGTGCAGCTTCTGCTACTTTTTCATCATCCATTTTCAGACAAGCCAGGAGAGATTCAAATGTTTCAGCAGAATGAAACGAGATGGGATGTGTAAATGAGAGTACCTAAACAACGAGTCATAAAAATGATCTGTAAACACTTTCATCTCCACAATATAAATCCAAAATATTACATATTAAAAATACAGATCAAATACAAGACTAATTTCACTAACAAGTAAATGAGGGCACTATAAACAAAATATGAAACATGCTCAAATATATATATAACAGAAATGTTCCTGTGTAAGAAAATTGTATGATCTAAAAAACTCATTTCTTTCCAAATTAAATTATATGCTAATACAATTCTACTTAATTTGACTTAAAATAATGAGTTTCAGTTAATGTTTATTTAATTTAATTTGATTTTTTAAGGGGAATAAAGGTAGAAGGGGACAAAAAAAATTTAACAAAATATCTCTATTTCTCTAAATAAAAGTTATTAAGACACTAGCTAGGAACATTTTTGAGAAATAAAGTAACCCAGAGAAGTAAAACACCAGGTAATAAAAGGTTACAATAATCAGTCAACATGGTAGTTAACATTAGAAGAAACAGAAAAAGGAAAGCAATAAATAGACCCTAGGATATGTAAGAACTTAGATTATATAGAATGTAATACATTATAGAAAAGGCAACAAAACATAAATGAGAAAGGATGGGATTTTTAAATAAATAGTCCTGTTAATACTGGGAGAAAATCAAATTAGACCATCCTCCAAAATATACAGCTTCAAAATAAATTTCAGATAGGTTACATTTCAGATTTAAAAACAAAAACAAATAAAATTCTCTTAAAATCATGCGATTTTTTAAGCTTAATTGGAATCAAATGTGGACTATAAAAACAAACAAGAAGTAGAAAAATATATTATACCTAATGCCAAATTTTAAGATTCAGAAACAAACAAAATAAACAACATTATTTGGAGACATATACATAGATAGGGATAGTAAAACTATATAAAGAAGAGAATAATAAACCCAAAATTGAGGACAATTATACCTAGGAAATGTGAGTGAGGGGAAAAAGCACTCACGGAATTCCAATAGTATTGTTGATACTCTGTTTACTCTTCACTGGTATTCATTTTACTAATATACTTTATAACTTACTTTATACTGAAATAGAATATATTAAGTAGAATATCTGTATATTCTATAGACATCAAGAATGTCCTATAAAACAGCACAAGAAATAAAAAAGCTCATTTAAATAAGCTAAAAGAAAAAAAAAGCCAAAAATGAAAAGATTATGAAATGTCAGTAGAAAATGAACAGAGGATAAAAATAATGAATTCACAATAGGGAAAAACACTAATGATTAACATATAAAAGGTATACCTCACTAGGAATAACTATGCAAATTAAGGTTATTTTTTCTTATCAGATTAGGAAATTTCTTAAAAATTTATACTATTCCATGTCTGTGGAGACAGGAGATAATGCATCTTTATACACTGCTAATGTGTATGAAGAAATTGGGCATGATTTCTCTGTAAAGAAATTTGACTACCTATCTACCTACCCACCTATCAAACTATGAATTTTGAAAATGGTCATTCTCTTTGAACTAGGAATGCCCTTTAAGCATTAAAAACAATCAAACAAAAAACCACATAAGAGATGTTAGATGTATTTATCTTAGTAGTGATAATAGGAATAAAATGAAAAATATCTAAATATCTAGCAATAGGGAAATAGCTGGAAGCACTATTACAAGTGGACCAATCAACATTTCAAAACTGTTTACTCTTTTTACTATGAAGCAGATGCAGCACTAAAAAATTTAGATACATGATTTAATTTAGTCCTCTGTAAGATAAGTACTATTATTATCACCACGCATTACAGATGAGGAAGCGGAGGCAAATTTTAACTTCCCCAAAGTGTCAATCTACTAAATGAGAGCCAAAAATCAGATGTTTTTTGATGCTCTTTAAAAACAGTCTTGCCCTAGCAGGTTTGGCTCAGTGGACAGAGTGTCAGCCTGTGGACTGATTCCTATCAAGGGCATATGCGGGGTTATTGGCTGGATCCCCAGTAGGGGGCTGGCAGGAGGCAGCCAATCAATGACTCTCTTTCATCATTGATGTTTCTCTCTCCCTCTTCCTTCCTCTCTGAAATCAATAAAAATATATTAAAAAAACAAAACAAAACAAAAAACACAGTCTTAAAAAAACACTAAAAAATTGCTTCCAATTCAATAAAAGAAAACCAAATTATAAAATTGTATATTCAGTCGATCTCAACTACATAAAAATGTCCATTTTCAAAGATTAAAAGGAGTAAAAGAAACTTTGATAGGCTTATGAATGTTTTTGTTCTTTATAATTTTATATTTTCTAAGTTGTCAACAACCAATATTTCTGTAATGAGTATATTTTTGTAATGAGTAGTACATTTGCTAACAAAATAAAAGATAAAATGGAGATTTAGGAAAAATTTGTCTCCTTCTGGGATAAAGATAAGTAGCTGCTTTGCTCACTAATGAAACCTTTAAATTATAGTCCACCATTTTAATTCTAGGCTACCATATACAACTGAAAACGAAAAATATGTAGCTTATATATTAGAAAACACAATTTCTAAATTACCTAAAGCAATCAATAAAATTTTACTTTAGGTTCTATAAATGTAAAAAGCAAATCTCAAGAATAAAAAATATGATATGCTTAAGAGTTAAGTAATTTAAACACCTAAACAATTTACCTTAAGCAGTTCAAGACCTGCCCTGATGGCTTGATCAGTTGGAACACCCTCATCTTCATCATCTGCTGTCCCATCTATTGATTTGTTCACTTGCTTAATAAGAGCACTAAAGTATGACCAAAATAAATAAGCAAATAGTTATTATCAGCTGTGCTTTATTAGCAATATCTAAAGAAAATAATCCTAAATATTTCTACATAGCCCACATCCCAACCATATACAAATTTGGTTTCCCAGACATTACTGCAAAACAAAAACTATAATACTTTGAGACGCTTGTTTTCAAACAGTATTTGCTTTTGTCCATTCTAATGAGATAACCATATTATTTCATTTGCTATATATTAAAGCTATCTATATTCTTATTCTTATATTTTCCATGGAAGGCCTATGCCCAAACACATGAATGATAACTCTCTTCTAATTATCTAAAATTCACTATTGCTCCAGTAAATAGAACAATATATACTCAGATAATGTACAAATGACAACATTAAACACTTCCAAACCATTTACCAAATATTATTGTGTGTCAAATACTGCTGTAAGAGACAGACATACACAAACCTGCTATTGAAAGGTGTAAAAATACACAGGTAACAGATATACAATAAAGCCTCACTAGAACATTAGTATAGATCAAAAAGGAAAGTTTTAAAATTTTCTTCTAAAAACATGCTTAAGTTATTTTTAAAATAATCATTTCATAAATGCATATCAATTATGTAAAATAATTAGTCACCCTGATAGGTATTAACACAAATAAACATCAGATTAGAGACATAATATGTATCAAAATACAAAAAAGTTCAATTATTCAATGTTCGCTAGATCATGGTTTCTACAAAAATATTAGGTACTGAAAATTCAAGGACAAGCTAGAAGTGAAATATATCTGTGTCTCTTACGGCATCCTTTTAAATTTATCATCCCCTTAAAACTTGGTATCTTTGAGGATGTTTCCTCTCCTTTTCTGACCATTTTCTCTGATCAGTCAATTGTCAGATCTCCAACTATTCCTAATAAAAATCTTCAGCCTGAATCCTCTTCCCATATTTCCAGTAGCCCCAAGGATTTTTACCTAGATGTACCACAGGAATGAAAAATATCACAGATCCAAAATTAAATTTGTTATTTTCTTCCATGACTACGAGCATGCTCTCAGTCTAGTGAGGGAAGGCCAAAAATAAAAAAATACATAAAATGATAATCAAGAAACAATAAGGACTAGAAAAAAGGCCAAGACCAGAAGTGAAGTTGTTTCACCAAAAGGCATTTCTGAAGAGGTACAATTGAGCTAACCCAAAGAACAAGAGCCAGACATATAAAAAAATCTGTGAGAAAAACCAAGATGGCGGCATAGGTAAACACCGGAGATTGCTGCCTCGCACAACCACTTCAAAAATACAACTAAAAGACGGAACGGACATCACCCAGAATCACAGGAAGGCTGGCTGAATGGAAATTCCACAACTAGAAGGAAAGAGAAAAGCATATCGAGACTCAGAGGAGGCGCAGTGCGGAAATGAAATACTAAGGTGCAGAGGTGTGCGCGGAGCGGGCTGGCGGTTGAGGGCGCGGTTGTCTGTTTCAATCAGGAGGGAGTCTCAGGCTCTGAGTTCTAGTTCCAGGCAGGTATCTAGGGACCCAGACTCAAACGGGAGAAGCGGGACTGTTTGGCATCAGTCGGACTCGAGGGCAGCTATCTCTCCGAGGTTTGCATCAGTTGCTGGGACACTGAGAGGCAGAGCCTCTGGGAATGGGACTGAGAGCAGCCATAACTGCTCTCTCTGTCCGCCCTGTTGATCCCCTGGGACCCGCCCTGCCCAAGCCTTGCACAGAGGCATTTGTTGGATAGCCTCAGGCAAAGGCTAGATTAGCACCTCCCTAGAGGACAGAAGTTCTCCCACTGCAGACACAGCTG